TTATTTCCAATTTCATGTTTGTTCAATTTTGGTACTTTATATATATATATATTATAATTGTTATAATTTTCCCCAACTTTTGAAATTAATGCAATTCAGAACATTTTACAATTTTCCTCACATTTTACAAATTTTTGATTTGATCCTTTTATATTGTTTATTTATTTAAATTTTAATTTGTAATTTCATATTTGTTTAATTTAGTACTTCAAATTATATTTGTATCTGAAATTGACCCACACTTATTTATATTTTTGTAATTTACTTAAAACTCTATAAAATGTAAATCACATAATAAATTTATTTTCAAATTATGTTCATCAACTTTTTAAATGTATTCAATTTAATCCATTTTTATATTAATATCAGCTTCACATTTTATAATTAATTCAATTTCATCCCTCGTCAATGTTTGTTGCTTAATTTATTCAATTTTTTATTTCCAATTTCATGTTTGTTCAATTTGATACTTTATATACATATATAAAGTATAAAGTATAATGTACATTATATAAACATGCATCATATTATCATAAACATTCATTATACATATTATATATATATTATAATTGTTTTAATTTTCCCCAACTTTTGAAATTAATGCAATTCAGTCCATTTTACAATTTTTCCTCACATTTTACAATTTTTTTGATTTGACCCTTTTATGTTGTTTATTGTATTTAAATTTAAATTTGTAATTTCATATTTTTTAATTTAGTCCTTCAAATTATATTTGTATATGAAATTGACCCACACTTATTTATATTTTGTAATTTACTTAAAACCCTATAAAATGTAAATCACATAATAAATTTATTTTCAAATTATGTTCATCAACTTTTTAAATGTATGCAATTTAGTTCATTTTTATATTATATCAACTTCACATTTTATAATTAATTCAATTTCATCCCTCATCAATGCGTGTTGCTTAATTTATTCAAATTTTTATTTCCAGTTTCATGTTTGTTCAATTTGGTACTTTATATACATATATAAAGTATAAGTATATATATATATATATATAAAAAGTATAATGTACATTATATAAATGCATCATATTATCATGACATTCATTATACATATTATATATATATATTATAATTGTTTTAATTTTCCCCAACTTTTGAAATTAATGCAATTCAGTCCATTTTACAATTTTTCCTCACATTTTACAATTTTTTTTGATTTGATCCTTTTATGTTGTTTATTGTATTTAAATTTGAATTTGTAATTTCATATTTGTTCAATTTAGTCCTTCAAATTATATTCGTATCTGAAATTGACTCATACTTATTTTTTTAATTTACTTAAAACAAACCCTATAAAATGTAAATCACATAATAAATTTCTTTTCAAATTATGTTCACCAACTTTTTAAATGTATGCAATTTAGTCCATTTTTATATTAATATCAGCTTCACATTTTATAAATAATTCAATTTCATCCCTCATCAATGCGTATTGTTTAATTTATTCAATTTTTTATTTCCAATTTCATGTTTGTTCAATTTGGTACTTTATATACATATATAAACTATAAAATATAAGTATATGTGTGTGTATATATATATATATAAAATTATAAAGTATAAAGTATATAATATAAAGTAATAAAGTGTTTGGATATAAGTATTAAAGTATATAAATATAACTATTAAATATAAAGTATATAAGTACATAAGTACTAAAGTATATATTATAAAGTATTAAACTATATAATATAAGTATTAAATATAAAGTATTAAAGTATATTAATTGTCATAATTAATATATTAAATATATTTGTTAATTTAATTATCATAATTAATATTTTATTATAACATTTAAAAATTAATCATATTAATTAGTATAATTTATTATAAACTCAAAATCTCACAATTTTATTAAAATCTTATATTTCATCAATGGTAATATATAAGTCGTAAATGTAAAGTCAAGTAAATATCAGATCAGGTCAATAACAAGTCGGATCATTTACAGGTCATGTTGAAAATAGGTTAGGTTGAAAACAAATCGGGTAATACCAGTTATTTACCAGGTCAATCTCATGTTCGGGTTCATATCAGTCAGATGCAGACCGGGTTCGGGTATCATATTTTCCGTTCAATTCAAGTTCAAGTCGTTCTCAGGTCGGGTGCAGGTCGGGTTCAGATCTATAATTTCTAGTTCCAACTCGGGTTCAAATCAACACCAATTCCAACTCGAGTCAGTTTCTGATTGCCACAGCGCATGTCAAAAACAATTTTAACTTCAATCGATTTCAGTCAGCTTTACAGATCGGGTCATCTTTTTACATCCCTTGGTATTACACGAAAACACTAACAGTTCAAGCATCGTCATTTATTATTGCACTAACTGTGCAGAAAAGCTGTCGAGTTCGAGCTACGACTGCGGGAATCGCCTACTTTTTCTCCATAAGATTTGTATAATTTTCTCATAATTATATCTAGTATAAGTATATTTCACTTCTATAAGTATAAATATATTTTTATATTACAATGTAGACCGAAGAATACGTAAAGCCTTAAACTTTTGAATAAAAAACTAATTAAGTTCTTATTTTTTTTTGGGAAATAAAATGAGTAATTTTCCTATAACCAGATTAGTGAGAATGCGAAATAAAAGCGGAAAAATAATACACGAAATTGATAACAGAATTCGGTCAATTATGCCTACGTCTCTAGACTACTGCAGATATTTTACTAAAGAGAGAAAATTTACAGGTGTTTACAAAACACTCACAAGAAAACTCTCTAAACTCTTAGTATTGGGAGAAAGAAATGATTTGGGATGATTTTAAAGCTAAATAGGTTAGGGTATTTATAGTTGAAGATTAAGGACTAATCTTGTAAATATCCTAAAGTACAAGGATTAAATTTGATAATTATCCCTTGCCAAATTCAACAAAATTAGGCAGCCTAATTTTTGTTGAATTATCTAGCCGTCGGCTTCCATGCATCCATTTTTGACCAATAATCTCCCACTTAAAGACTGATTTTAATCTGTCTTCACACCTCGATCAATGCAGCAACATTTCTAGTCTTGTTATTCTAGCATGCCAACTGAAGCTTAACACAACTTCAGTTTGTCCGTAGTCACCGTCTTTGTTAACATGTCTGCCAGATTTTGAGCTCCACTAATCTTTTCAAGTTTCAAAATCTCATCTTCTAGAAGAGACCGGATAAAATGATATCGCAATTGTATGTGTTTCGTTCTGGAATAAAAAGACGGATTCTTCGCTAGATGGATAACACTTTGACTGTCACAATATAAGACATTGTTTTCTTGTTTCTTGCCTAACTCTTCCAAGAAACTTTGGAGCCAAACCATCTCCTTGATGGCTTCCGTAACAACGACATATTCTGCTTCAGTTGTGGAGAGAGTAACTATCTTCTGTAGTTGGGAAACCCAACTCACTGCAGTACCTCATATAGTATAGACATACCCTGTAGTGCTCCTTCTGATATCAATATTTTCGACTAAGTTAGCATCTACATAGCCTGTCAGTATCGTATCTCCACCTTTGAAACAAAGTGCTTTGTTTGTGGTACCCCACAGATATCTGATGATCCATTTGACTGCTTCCCAGTGTACCTTGCCCGGATTATTGATGTACATGCTAACAGCTCCCACTGCTTGAACAATATCTAGTCTAGTACAAACCATGGCATACATCAGACTTCCAATTGTTGAGGCATACGTTACCTTCACCATGTGTGCACGTTCTTCCTCCGTCTTTGGTGAATGTTCTTTGGAGAGTCTAAAATGAACATTTAAAGGTGTATTTACTGGGTTTAGAATCTTGTATGTTGAACCTGGAGAGTACTTTGTTGATGTACTCAGCCTGTGATAACATCAAAGTCCCCGACTTTATATCTCTCTTAATCCTCATCCCAAGAATCTACTTTGCAGCGCCCAGATATTTCATTGCAAACTGCTTCGACAATTTTTGCTTCAAGTTTATAATCTCTTGCATATTTGAGCCTGCAACAAGCATGTCATCAACGTACAACAATAAAATAATGAAGTTGTTGTCAAACTTCTTGATGTAGCAATAATGATCTGCTTGGCATCTGATAAAACCACTGCTACCCATGAAGCTATCGAACTTCTTGTACCACTGTCTAGGAGCTTGTTTTAAACCATACAAGTTCTTCTTCAAACTGCATACCAGGTTTTTCTTGTCTGCCTTTATGAAGCCTTCTGGCTGCCTCATATAGATTTCTTCCTCCAAATCACCATGAAGAAAAGTTGTCTTTACATCTAACTGCTCAATATGTAGATACTCTACAGCTACAATTTTCAACACCAGTCTGATTGTAGACAGCTTCACGGCTGGAGAGAAAATTTTATTGTAGTCAATACCTTCTTTTTGCTGAAAACCATTGACAACTAATCTTGCTTTGTAGCGTTTGCTCCCATCGTGCTCTTCTTTGATCCTGTAAACCCACTTGTTATAGAGCGCTTTCTTGCCTGTGGTAATTCAGCTAATTCCCACGTCTGATTTGACATAAGCGAGTCCATCTTATCTTTCATGGAAGAGTCTCACTTGACTGAATCCTTCACTTGCATTGCTTCATCATAGCACTTTGGTTCACTATTGTCAGTCAATAACAAGTAGTGCAAAGAAGGCGAATAACGCTGGGATTGGTTTAGGAATTCTAGAGGAGCGTCTCAGTTCTGGTGTGTCTGGTTCTTCTTGAACTGCTTCAGGATTGATCTGAACATCATTTCCAGAAATCTCCTCAAACTCAACAAATTCCTTTGTTTCAACTTTGGTATTGGAGCTACTTGATTCTATGGTTGACCTATCTTTGTACATCACATTCTCATTGAAAATGACATCTCTTCTTCTGATGATCTTTCAATTTTCATAGTCCCAAAATCGGTAACCGAACTCATCACCACCATAACCAACAAAGAAACATTTGTTGGACTTGGCATCAAGTTTACTTCTTTCAGCAGAATTTATGCGTACATAAGAAATACAACCAAACACTCTTAAGTGTGAAAGGTTTATTTCTTTCTTTCTCCAAACTTCCTTTGGTATTCCACCATCCAAGGGAACTGAGGGCCCATGGTTGATTAGGTAAGCTGCAGTGTTGATAGCTTAAGCCCATAACAATTTGGGCAAGCCGACGTGTATCCTCATGCTTCTGGCACATTCATTCAGAGTTTTGTTCATGCACTCTGCTACGCCAATCTATTGCGGTGTCATGGGAACTGTTGTCTCTATCTTGATCCCATTGTTTGCAAAGAAATCTCTGAATCTATTGTTTCTGTACTCTCCTCCATTATCAAACATCAACCACTTGACTTTCAAACCAGTCTCATTTTCCACCATTGCCTTCTATTTTCTGAAGGTATCAAAGACTTCTGATTTCTTCTTCAGAAAATAAACCCACGCATTCCTTGTAGAATCATCGATGAAGGTGACATAATATAGTGAGCTTACAAGAGATGAAACTGGAGATGGTCCCATACATCAGTATGAATCAACTCTAACTTTTCAGCCTTGGGCGTCTTGCCAATCTTCGCAAAACTGACTTTCTTTTGTTTGCCAAAGATGCAATCCTCACATAGTCCGACATCTATATTCTTTAGATCCGACAACTTTCTTTTGACAAAAGTGTCTTCATCCCTTTCTCGCTCATATGGCCAAGCCTTTGGTGCCATAGGTTTGATTTTCCATTAGCATATGCTACTGTAATGATATTCTCCAAGTTTGAGGTTAAATAGAGAGTACCAGTCTTCTTACCACGAGCAATGACGAGTGCTCATTTGGTAATATTCCATTCACAGCCTAAAAAGGTTGTACAATACCCTTCTCTATCAAGTTGTCCCACAGAAATTAAATTTCTTTTGAGGCCAGGAATATGTCTCACTCATTTCAGCTTCCAGGTGGTATGGTTTGGCAACTTTAATCGAATGTCTCCTTTTCCGATAATCTTCAAGGTTTCATCATCAACTAGATGGACCTTCCCAAAATCACCACTGACATAGTTCTCCATGATTTCTTGGCATGGGGTGGCGTGGAAAGATGCCCTGAATCCAAGATTCATAATTCAATCGGACTATTGATGCTTAGAATCATGGCATCACTTGTCTCCTCTATCATGTTGGCAGATTCCTGTGCGCCGATATCTTTCTTCGGTGCTCAACAATCTCTTTTAAAGTGACCCTTCTTGCCACAATTATAACAGTTAAAATCTTTATTTCTCGTTCTTGATTTTCCCCTTCTAGATTTTGATCTGTCACGATTTGGATTTCTTTTTGAAGTTCTCCCTCTAGACTCCATGTGCAAGGCTAAGGAGCTTGATGCTTTACCCGATTCTCTCCTTCGAATTTCTTCACTCAATACCAGATCCCGAACATCGTCGAATTTCAATTTACTATTTCCCGATGAGTTGCTGACTGATGTAACAGTAGTGTTGTAATCGTCTTTCGGTTGGGGCCCAGAATTGGGCTTCGACGTGGATTAAATGAATTGGGAGTCGCCACCGATCATTTACTTTACGAAAAGTGGGTTGATTGGATACCTTATTTCTTATCTGATCTGCGTCTTACCAGAGATATGTCGGATTCGGGAGACGGTTACAGTCAAGGAAGTGTTAGCACACTTGAACTACCCTTTCGGTATTACGTAATTTCCAGTTGTCATTAAGTAAGAAAATTGAAAGTTTAACTCAAAAGGTAAAATTACGATCCAAAATTACTTACCCTAATTCGATTTAAAATAAACCTTTTAAAAAAGGGAGAAACACGTTAGAGGAAAAAGATAATGAAAGTAAATAAATAAAACAAAGAAAACACATAAATAACACGAATAAACAAATGAATAAAAAATAAGAAAATAAAAGAAGTAACAGTAAAAAAAAGAATGAAGTAACGAATCTAATAATAAAAACAACAATTAAAATAATGAGGAAAAATACAAAGAAAATAGAAAAAAAATGAAAAAAAAATACAATCACATAAAATAAAGAAAAATAATAAAAAAATGTAAGTTAAAAGTAAAATAGTAATAACAATTATAATGATAATTATAAAAATAAATATACATTAATATCAAAAATAAATAGTAATATAGTTATATGAATATATATATATATATATAGATATATATATATATATATATATAATATATAAAGGTATAAAAATAATAGTAATAATAAGTATTAAAATAAAAAAATAATAGTACTAAATAAGAAAACAGAAATAAAGAAATTATAAAGAATATGAAAATCATAGTAAAATATATATATATATATATATAATAAAAGTATAAATGAAATAAAAAATAATAATAATGGAAATATAAGTAAACATATATGATATTAGTAGGGGATTAAATTGAAATAAAAGCTAAATCAGTGGGCAAATGTCAAAGAACATTGAAGATTAAAACCGGCAAAAATAAAAAAGTTTTCATTTTTTAATAGATTTTCGCACCCTCGTTCCAAAAATGTAATTTGTTTTTGCGAAATAGCCTCTAGGGAGAATAGATCTGAAATCAAAGTTTCGAAAAACTCTCTCCGGGTCATCAGCTAAAAAAATTTTCTTTGTGATTCTCAAGCAAAAAAAACGCGATTAACAACGCATGCAAGTGAAGAGTAAAGAGAAACAAACGAAAGGTAAAAAGCTTTCACCTTTATTACTTCGAATCGTTTACAATAGCCTCGAAATCACTTTTTCTTTGCTCGTATTTTTTTGGCGTTCCTTTTGTGTAACTCGTGTGTTACAAATGGGGAGGATTACATGTATTTATAGTGAAAAAAACTAACTATTTTTAGAATCCTATTAACAATAGAATCCTAATGCAACTAGACTCCTTGCTCAGTTGTTGCACGTTTTTTGGTGTGGTTGTTGCTTTAAAAGATATGGTGGTGGAAGAGTCCTCCTAGGAAAGGAACTCTTGCTAGTTCTATCTTTTAAGAAAATGGGTGTCTACAGCTGCCCCTCTTATTCCTTTTTCATGGAACGAAAAATAGGAGAAAGATAAAAAGACACAAATTTTCGTTCAGTGGAGTTGAAGAATAACTCCCTGTCGAATTGAATTAAGGATGGCTCCTCCGTCGCGAAGTCGAGTTCATCTTGAAATGATTTGAATCAGAATGTGGCTTCTCATTGTAGTCCACTTTGGTCTTCTTCTCGGTTTAAAGACCTTGGCTAAAAATTTGATTGGAAAGTAATCTCTTGACTCCACAATGTGGTTGATATGCCCTCGAGCTGAATGAAACCGAACTCGAAAGGTCTTCGCTGACAGATAGCTTTTTTCGACTTAAGTTATGCTGACGGAAAAAAGGCTTCTTGCTACCAAGGCACGGCTAACCCAGACCTTCTTCTCGGCTTGAAAAACCTCGATTGCAGCCGAACAATAATGTGATTGAGGTGTCATCGAGCTGAATGGAATTGAACTCGACAATTTTATTGACAGATAGCCCTTCTTGCCTTGAGTTATGTTGTAAATGATGTGCCTTAGAGCTGAGCACAGTCAAACTCGAAGGTCTTTTGATGACAGATAACCCTTCTAGCCTTGAGTTATGCTGTAAATGATGTGCCCTCGAAGCTGAGTGTAATCGAACTCGAGGGTTTGGTGTTTCAAGAGAAACATTTTCAAAGGTTTTTTGTGTGTGTTTCAAGAGAAAAAATTTCGAGGGTTTTTTATTGTGTTTCAAGAGAAACTGTCTCAAGAGGGACAAAATTTGTTTCAAAAGAAATTGTCTCAAGAGAGACAAAACTTAGTTCTAAAAGAAACTGTCTCAAGGGAGACAAAAATTTGTTTCAAGGAAAAGATATTTAAAGATTTTGTTTCAAGGAAAAGATATCTAAAGATTTTGTTTCAAGGGAAACTGTCTCAAGAGAGACAAAATTTGTTTCAAGGGAAACTGTCTCAAGCGAGACAATATTTTGTTTCAAGGGAAACTGTCTCAAAACTCATTTTAAGGGGGACTGATTTAAATATTTTGTTTTTTAAGGGAAACGTTTTCAAGGTTTATGTTTCAAGAGAAACTATCTCAAGGGAGACAAAAAAAATTTTCGAGGGAAACTATCTCAAGAGAGACAAAATTAATTTCAAAGGAAATGTTTTCAATGTTTATGTTTCAAGAGAAACTGTCTCAAGGGAGACAAAATTTTGTTTCAAGGGAAACTACCCCAAGCGAGATAAAATTTATTTCAAGGGAAATGTTTTCAATGTTTATGTTTCAAGGGAGACAAAATTTCGTTTCAAGGGAAACTATCTCAATCGAGATAAAATTCATTTCAAGGGAAATATTTTCAATGTTTATATTTCAAGGGAGACAAAATTTCGTTTCAAGGGAAACTTTCTTAATCGAGATAAAATTCATTCCAAGGGAAATGTTTTCAATGTTACGTTTCAAGAGAAACTATCTCAAGGGAGACAAAATTTAGTTCCAAAAAAAATGTCTCAAAAGGAGACGAAATTAGTTTCAATGAAAATAGATTCAAATATTTTGTTTCAAAGGAAACTTGGAAACTGTCTCAAGAGAGACAATGGTGAGCACGATTCCCTTCGTCGTGAAGTTGAAACCGTGGATGACCATTTCGTTGTGAAGTTGAGCCTTGAAATTGGATATCCTTCGTCGTGAAGTTGAAATCCAAGTAAGTTATATTGTTCCGAGTCCAATATCCTCCGCCGTGAAGTTAAAATTGGCTCTGGAACTAAGAAATTATTTGTTGACAGCCAGCCGTCCCTTCGTTGTGGATTGAACTTGTGTTGTGGAGTGAAATCACAGGTGGCCCTTTCGTTGTGAAGTTGAGCCTTGACTTGGATATCCTTTGTTGTGAAGTTGAAATCCAAGTATTGTATGTTACGGGTGGACACGATTCCCTTCGTCGTGAAGTCGAAACCGTGGATGACCCCTTTATTGTGAAGTTTGGCTTCGAGCTAGGTATCTTTCGTCGTGAAGTTAAAATCTACTCTCGAGCGAATTGTGTCAGTTTGAGTTCAATATTCTTCGCCGTGAAGTTGAAATTGACTCTGACTGAAATTGGAAAGTTGTTTTGTTGTCAGACAGTCGCCCCTTCGCTGTGAGGTAGAGCAACCACCATGTGCTTTTGAATCGAGCATCCTTTATCTTGAATTAGTTCTTAAGTATGTCTAAGATGCATGTAACATGAATTAGTTCTGTTTTATCCCCTGGATGGAGTCTCGTGCTTTGTGTGCTTATTCCTGCATATGGAGGAAATGCCTTCAAAATGTCTGATAATTTGCATCAGGATGTTGAATTCCCAAAGATGCCCTAATATTCGATGTTGAATCTCAAAAAATGCCCCAACATTTGATGTTAAATCTAAAAAAAATACCCCAACATTTGATGTTGAATCTTCAAAAATGCCCTCATTGTTCTTGATTTCTTGCTTCAGCATTGATTCTAAGCATGAGTTTTGTGTTTGAGAGCCACATGTCATTTACCAAGATCCACTCTAGAGAGATTGTCTTGTTTTGAAAAAAATGTTTTTCTTTCTTTTTTATTTTCAAAGTTCTGAAAATATCAAAAAAGAGTTTCGAAAAATGTTTAACCAAAAGATTTGAAAATATTGCCTCTTTCACGGTTTTACAATTGAGACAAATCATAAAACTAGAGTTCATTGGATATCAAAGAATTAATTACATTTTTAATCCTTCAATAAATTATAGTCGTTTGACATGTGCTAAGATCAAATCTATTTTTGGGAAATGGTTAAGTAAGGAAAGGATAAAAACGTCTCAGGTTATTGTGTTTGGTCAAAGGTTTGACATTTTTGTTTATTTGATGCTCAAAGGTTTGATGGGGTATCTTGCATGCTCCTCTATTGGAAGTGTTCTCCGA